AGGCTGATTCTAGAAACAAATATTTCTTCTTTTCAGATCACTGCTAGTTTCTTAATGTTACAAAATAAACTTGCTTACAATGCACAGCTTCATACACCCTTTAAACTAGCCTTCTGTTTAAAGTTTAGTGAAGGACACATCGGTGTTCACTGGCAATAATTCACTTTCTCTATATGGGATAGAAAAGCATCATTATCTTGCACTTTGCATCAGACAGGAAAATGTCTCAGTTGGTCCCTGAGAAGATGGTGTAATGATCTACTGTCCATTACTTCTCATTAAAATCTGGAAGGATAGGTACAATCATTTCTCCTCTTCCAAGCTACACGAGTTCCATATACATTTGGAATTTTGCACCCTGCCTCTGCATTTACAAGATAAAATTTTGCACCCTGCCTCTGCAAAATAAAGCTTGATCTAGAACATATTAATTAAAACCATTTATCAATTATGCTTTATATTAAAAGTTGATGTTCATAATGCTACCTACAGTATTTCAATGAAAGCCAGAAAAATACAAGAAGAAATAACTTCAAAAATACAAAAGCAAAGTACTAAAGCCTAAATCCTGTTACTTTTGAAATCCTTAAAAATGACCTAATCCTGGGATTTACCTATGTGTTGACTTACCATTCATCGATGGGTCTACTACAACTGGGACTAACAAACAGAATGTCAGTGTAAGGTTGGTTGTATGCCTGGAATCCTATGTTGACGTATATGAAATATACTCTATTCAGTGCAAATAACCTAATTCTCAGATGACATTGATAGTTGATCCAAGAAACTGACAGTATTCTGGAGAAGTTGGTTAAGTGGAATTTCTGGAAACATTTTCCAAAACTTTTCTACGATATAAAAGAGGTACCACTGCCTTCTTGGTGTTCCTTTTCTGTCTTTTATAAATTTGGACACTGTTTTTACTCCCACTTTTCATAGATTTCACTTCAATGATTCATCTGATTTTTATCTGATTGTTACTACTCTTTGCTCTCTTTGCTGTAGTAAAAATGGTTGATTATGAAAAGCTGTGAACTACAAATATAGCCAATAAAGGAGTCCAAAACAGTCACTTCAGTGTGTTGAACAGAGACAATGGTTTCCTGACCCACTACACATAATACTAGTTAACACCCCAGATTCATAAGAGCTTTCTTGACCAGTTTATCACATCTCCTTTCTCGCTCCCATTCAGCATCACACGACTTTCCAATAACTCCTTCCATCATCCATGTGGTTATCTATCACATTGGCTTTTCTTGCCTTGGTTAATACTGAAATTGTTATCTTAGCACCATTCCCACAAATTTTGCATTTCTATTGTTATTCACACAAACAGCCTGTTCATAAAAGCCTGCTTTTAGGCATTTTGCACCATGCAGTGGGTGAAATATAAATATACGTATTTATTTAATTGTTTATTTATCTATTTACTGTACTTATATTCTGCCCACCTCACCTCAAAGGGGACTCGGGGTAGATCACAGAACACATATATGGCAAACTTTCAATGTCGATTATATTATGACAAGACAGGCAATAGATAGAGGTATATTTAGGCTTTTTCTCATCATTCAGCATTTCTTGGAGGCTGTGCTCAGTTCCAACCATGGGGGAACCTCCATCTCCTTGCCAAAGAGCTTTCTTTGTTTATAAACTTTCATCCGAAACGCTGTGCCTAAAATACCTCCCTGTTTAATTCATATTCATCTACTTACATTGTTGCTTTCAATCCACTAGGTGGGCAGGGGAGCTGGGCTGAAGGGCAGGAACTCATTCTGACCTGGCTTCGAACTGTCAACTTTTTGGTTGGCAAGGTTTACTGCATCTGTAGCTGGTGATAAACCTGCTGTGCTAAATCTGGCCTAAATACTAGTGCCAAGCACTTTTTCTCAATTGGTCTCAAAGATTCCTTTGCTTACCAATCCAGACTAGCATAGCTATGCTTTTGATACCAGTCGCTTCCGTATATGTGGGGGTTTTTTGCTTTTGTTTTAAAATATGTTTTTAGACATATTTGATATGGCTAAAGATCATGATTCTAAAAGAATAATTTTGAACCAAAACACTGCTGTTAAAATAATTCTCTTTCTTGTTGGCATCACAGAATTTCACTTGTCTTTTATGTGTATAGGCTCATGGTGTATTCAGAAAAACAAGTCAAAATTTCACCTGTTATGACATATTGCCAAGAAAAGAATGTGGTTTGTAGTTCAACACATCTAGGGAAGCAACAGACTGGAGAAGACTGATTTTAAAACTTACTAAGGAAACATTCCTTGCCTTTGCTTTTACTGGTACAATATGTCAATAGATCACCATGCACTAGACACATAGTGATTAGTTCTTATTTGGAAGAAGTCAGTTTTTTGAGAAAGGGCAAGGAATCTGTTTTAAGAATACTGAAGTTGCACTAGCTATTCCTGTTATGCATGGCGAGAGACAAATCTGTTTTCCTTTCTTTCTTTTCCCTGTGCATTTGCTGACCAAATGAACTGTGCACTAAGAACTAAAGCAATTCCTTTTAATCAATGGCCTCTTCAAAGTTCAATTCTCCTGCTCTCTGAGTTTTCCCTCCCTCCATTGTCATGATCAATTGTATTTAACCTTCATAAGGAAGTCCTAACACAAATGCTTTATAAGCAAGGAAAGCAGAATGGAGACGAACTAAGGCGCATAATGTGCTCTCCTGTGCCTGTTTGCTCAGAGCTTGCCTAGAGGCAAGTATCTAGATAGAATGTGAGACAAGATGTTCTTTGTTCAAAACAGATCTCCTTTCCTGGGTGTACATATATTTTTTCATCTTTACTTGCTGTACCTGGTATGAATGCGTGGTGAATGAAGCTAATTCTATGAACCTTTGATTTGTCTCTTTTGTGGCTTATTTACTTCAGCCTTTGTTAGCACATTCATATATATTATTTCTGAACTAAAGCAAATGTATCACATATTCCTGGATGTTTTTAATGGTGTTTATTCTGTACCTTCATATACACTGTATCTGTCTGGATTGTAATGGAGTAAGTTTAGCAGTTCTAATGACTATGGGCAATATCGCGTTGGGGAATAATGCTCTTTTATTTTAGAAAAGCATGACCTTTCAGAGAAGAGCCAAAAACCCTTGAGAGTAAAATCTTCTCTTGTGGTATACAACCAAATATAATTATGCAAGGCAATAGTTTCAGTTGTAAGACTGAATAACCTGTTATATCTGATCTGTTAGAGATTTGCCAGTGCATAAAAACAGCAGAACTTTAGAAGATTAAAAGTCGTCTGTCAAACTACATGATCAAAATTTGACAACAAACAGGAATTGGTAATTTTCTAATTTGCAGATAGTCATCAAATTTAGAGGGAAAAACCACTTTCCCCATGTAACTAGAGGGGCGAGAGAAAGCCCGGTATGCTAGGAACATGAGCTGGTGGTGGTGGCTCTCCATTACTCCTTGTACTCAGGACTTCTTCCATTCAATCTCTCATCTCTAGAGAGGGAAGAGGAGAAAGGGAGGGGAGGGAGGGGGGAGAGAGAGGGGGAAGGCCAGCTGGTAAGCCAGATCCTGACTGGACTCCAGATCTGGGATCTGGTTGATCTCTCTCACTTTATCCCTGAAGATGGGAGAGGGAAGGGCACAAGCCCTGTGTGTCAGGAGCAATGGAAACCCACCACCCCCTCATGCTCCTAGCACACAGAGCTTCCTACCTTCCCTTTGTTAGCTTCCACTCTTGATGGACACAAGTAGGACGGAGAGAGAAACAGGGGTCATGTGGCTCTCACACTCTCTGAGCCACTGCTCTCCCTTCAAAACAAACCTAGGGTGAGGATGCTGCACGCGGATGATGCAAAAGGAAAACAAGGAAATTGAGAGCTGAATGAGCTCTGGAAAATTTCAATACTGCTCAGCCTTGGGAAAGTGTGAGGGAGAGGGGTGTGCATATACAGAGTGGTGCCTGGAGAAAGGAAGAAGGTGCAAAAAAAAGCCTTTAAGTTCTATGCAGTTCAAGTTTTGGGAAGGTGGGAGAGCTGACACCTAATAAAGGGTTCAGGAGGCAGAGGTTGCATTGGGGGCACGCTGGGAAGGCTTTTCAAATAAAAGAGGTGTCTTGCAATTGAAAAAATATATTTTAAGAAATCATAGCTCAAAAAAAGTTGTGTCTTACAATGAATGGTGCTTTAGGTTCAGTATAATACGGAATTATTATCCCATTTTATCTCTATAAAAGGTGACTCCTAACAACACTAAAAACAATGCAATATACAATGTAAAATTTTAAAAAACATAAAAATGCTAAAATGGGATTGAACTTCAAAACTACTTAAAAATAAACAGTTAAAAACATTAACACATACCTAAAAACTCTATACATCACTCCCTGGCTCAGTCTTAAAAACATTTTTCTTTAAGGTTGCATACCACATATCCTTTTTCATGGTTCACTTGTTGCCTACCATTTGCATGATTTATTTCTTTATTTACTTTATTTTTAACTCTCCTTTCTCCCGATATAGGGATTCAAGGCAGTTGACAGGAATCAATTTGTATAGTGGGCCCTTGATATCCACTTGGGGTTGCTTTCAGAACATCCTATGGCTACCAAAATTTGTGGATGCTCCAGTATGTAATGACACAGTAAAATGGTGTTACATGACCAAACCTATGTTTATACAGCTCCTCCCCCCCCCCCGCCCCCATAACCATGGGTTGCACATCAAACGGAAATGCCACCATGGCACCCAGCGGGGAACTGTGCAAAGACTGACAACAGGAATCCTAAAAGAGAGATGTAATTCCCAGTGTCCCTTTCACTTGTGTTATTGCAACCAGTGTTATTTAGAGAGGGGTCAGGCCATGGCGATATGGGTGGAGATAGGAATTTCTAGGTAAGGTCTGTCAGATCCTTGAGCTCTTTGCTATTATTCAAGGTCTTCTCAGTCATATATATATAGATAATGAATTTCCCTTGGTGTCTTAACACAATTAATTGCTAGGAAATGTTGACAGTTTCAGACACTGAAGATCACAATGAAGCTTTGTCTATCAGTAATGAAGCCGAATTGTCAAACAACTTACCTGGAGATGACCTGGATGAATGCCTTGCCTATCCTGGAGAGCTCTGTCAACACCTCTGCATCAACACAGTAGGATCCTACAAGTGCTCATGTTTCCCAAGATTTACTTTACAGGACGATGGACTCAGCTGTAATCCAGGTAAGGCAATAAATTTGAAACCAAACTAAAAGTTCATTTTTCAGATTTATACTTTCATCTTTAGTTTTCCTTCATTTACTAAGCATGACAGTGCAGTACATGTCTCGGTTATCTTCCATCTGGATTACTACAAATGCGTTTTATCTGGGACTTCCTTTGAAAAGATCTCAGAAACTGCAGTTTGCCTAAAAAGTTGCAGCCAGATTATTTAACTGGGGCTGGCTATAGGGAACATGCAATTCCCATTTTTTGCAATGGCTCTATTGGCTGCTCAATTCTAAGTACTAGTTTTAAGCTAGAAAGCCCTATATGTGTTTTGTCCAGGTTTTTTGGAAGACAATATCTTCCTTTACAGGCCAATTAGAGCTCTACCATCTTCTGAAGAGGCCCTGTCCCATCACTTTTTCTTGGTTATTTGACAAGAGCAGCCATTGTTCCGCAAAGTAAATAGGATTAAGTGTACCTCCTCAGCCAAGCAATCTTTATTATTGCATTTCATATTGCCTTTCAGGATTTCAATTTGCCCAGTTTCAGACCCAGTCTTTCATTACCTGTTGGGTAAAAATAGGAAACACTCAATTCCTTATCAATAGAACCGGTTTGTGAAATAATAAAATAAATTTAAGAATGAAGTAATTATAATACAGTAAAATATGTGGATGGGCGTATATTAATTACCTTTCAGGGGAAAGCTGAAAAAGGCAATACAGAATTCTGTAGGATAGGGGCCCACCACTGAAAAGGTCCTGCCTTACTGACCTCTAGTTGATAAGGTATCTTTCACATAGTCTAAACTCAGAGTGCTTGGAGTATTAAACATCAAAGTCAGAACACTGAATTAAGTCTTTTAAAACACAAGCAAGAAATGTAGTTGATGCATAACTAGTGTCATATGACCCCATTCTGAATATAGACTCTGTAAACCAGATTTTGCATCAACTAAAGTTTATGACTGATCTTCAAATGGTGCATCATATAGTGCATCCATATTTTCCAGTTGGGGCATAATTGAAAACAAGTAGTATTGATGGCTACAAAAAAGAGGGGGGGAGAGAAAAGATTTTTAGCACTTTGAAGCCTCATGAAACTGTAGTTAAATTTGTTTCTCCACTAATTGCGGAATAAACATTAAAAAAAGAATCTTCTGTATCTCTGAGGGAACTGTAGGCTTTTATAAGGAAATAGAGCCTAGTAAAATGTCTTTAACTATATAATCGCCTTCCCCAACACACACACAAAACCATCTAGGATTACATCTGCACAGAATGATATAAAGATTTGTTCTCTTGTATTTCTTCTAACCTTGGTTTCCTAGCCAGCAAGAAAATAAGTTATTTCAATCATGTGTTTTGCCCCTGCCAAAAGCAATAAACAGCCTTCACACTTCTCTCTCTCTTATTTTTACTCTGGTTCAGTCCAATGATATCTCTACAGAAGGGTAATGATTTTTCAGAACAAAACCTGCATATTTAATTAATGTTTCACAGGGGATACTGAATCATTAGTCCAGGCCCACTAGCAGCCGTATTACATTGTGTTTAACGTTAACAGAAACATATGATGCTGCAGCTTGGTTTGTAGTCAGAGAATAAATTTTTAAAATGCTATTGCAAAGAAACACTTGGTAAGTGTTTCTTGTCTTGATATTTGGGTTTTTTGTTACTATTTCGTCCATGGCAAACTGAGTATGGAAGGTGAATTGGAATGAAATGATTGAGATATTAATTCTTAATTTATTTCATTTCTGCTACCATTATTAGAAACTGGTGATATCTGGCAGTAATTTGTCAGTATTATTGGAGAGAACTCAGTCTTCTTGGAGAGTTATGTTGCTCTGGCTTTGTTTTGTTTTTCTAGAGTCTAGACTAGTGGTTCTCAACCTGTGGGTCCCCAAGTGTTCTGACCTAGTACGCCCAGAAATCCCAGCCAGTTTACCAGCTGTTAGGATTTCTGGGAGTTGAAAGCCAAAACATCTGGGAACCCACAAGCTGAGAACCACTGGTCTAGACCTTAAGACTTTAAAGTGGGGATCTTTACTTCAAACCTATGAACAGTAATGGCATAATCATATGGGCAGACTATGTCAACAGAGGCAAAGATAATGAGCAGACCTGGAACCCTTTTACAATGCACAGTTTCAGTGTTATGACTCTACTTGTCATTTGTGGGCATTTAGAATTCACAGAGAGTTCTAGTTGCTCAAGGTCAGCCAGTAGATTTCCATGGCTGAGTGCAGATTCAAACACTTGTCTCCAGCAGTCAATGACATGGAACCCACCAGCCTATAAAAGATTGCTTTCACTGCAGTCATACTTTTTCAATAATACCTGCCTTAATTCCAAGATAAAAAAAAGGAATCCCAACAGGACTGTTTTCATGTTTCCTTATATGCTATTCATTATTATCTTAAATACTGTTTTGCAAATCTCACTTGGAATCTATCTCTGTGGTAAATGATAGGTAGAAAGCAATGCAATGATAGCTGACTGCCCTCCTTTTTTATACAAACAGATTTTGAAGAAGAAGGACCAAACACGGCATTGGGAGACAAAGCCACTGTTGTACCTGAACCTTTGAAAAACCCACCTGTGACAGTTAATGGTTTACAGGAAGAACAAGATAGGTGTAAAGGTAGGAACTAGAGGCAAGTTGCAAAAGTATGTAGGAAATTCTAAAACTTTCTTGGCTGTTTTTTTTTTCAATTCATGTTCACGTCCTGTCTCCAGACATAGCCCAAAGGAAGAGATGGGCAAGCTCTCAGAGAATAACCTGCTGAGGTAATTTCAGGGTAGCTTCCAAATTCAAGGTTATTTCATGTAAGCTATTTAAGATTGTTGAGGCAACACAGCTGTATGTGGTAATTTAAAATTCGCAGATGGGAATGAATGGCACAGGTGTGCTTGCCTATAAAGGGAGGATTGTACATGGTGATTACAGTTATGAGAATAGGTTGTTTGTTTTTACATTTTACAGTCTGTGATGACAAGTGTTATAATTAGTGGAAGGAAGCTTTAAACTTTAAATTGAGTTGTACACTGATTTTTTTCTCTTGCGGTTTTTGAAATATTGTTTTTCCTAGATAATGGTCCCTGCAAGCACACATGCAATATCGTGGAAGGGACAATTGAATGCTCTTGTTTACCTGGATATGCTCTCATGGCAGATGGGGTTTCCTGTGAAGGTGAGCAAATGTTGTTCAGTATACTCAGTTTTGTAGAGTGAAATATATTTGAAATAGATATGAACAGATTCACTAAGATGGGGATTGACAAGTAGAAGTAGAAGGACAAGTAGAAGGACATCAACCTGTTCCTCCCAATATGATAGGCAGTGCACAGCATGGAATTTTCATGCTGTGCCTTCAGTGTTATAATTAGACAAGCTTCTTTATGACTAGAACAAACCTCTTCCTCATTTGCTCACTAAAGTCTTCTGCAATATGAAACCCTCACAAAATGTAGGCAATTTTAAATGGGTCTTACGTAGCAACTCAGAGGCTGTACAAGATGTTATTTGCATGGAAAATCATAGGCCAAAGATTGTTTAGCTAAGGGACAAAATGGCACACCCTCCCCCGAGCTTTACATCAAAGTTGAGTGGACTATCATGATAAAACTTACAGTAACACTGCTAAGGGTATAGCACCTTCCACCATAATCAAGGAAGCAGGTTAAAGGACAATCTGTATGAAGGACACAACTCTGCCCTCGAAAAGAGGAGAGGCATAGCTGCAATGTTGGCACTGCTGCTTTACACATATTTTTGCATCTTCAGCCTGAAGCAGTTGCTTCACTTTGTAAACTGATAGGACTGGCCCTGGTGATGATATCATAACAATTGGAAAATTACCTCTATGACATTTTAAAGCTTGACTTATAAAATGGGGATTGAGGACATGGGAGAAAATGCTTTTCCATGCGAGATCATCAATCCAAATCAGAACGGAGAAGCTACAGCCCACATGTACCCTCTTGGCAGTCCACCAAAGATCACAAACTCATCCATCTCATTTAAATATTTTACTTGGCCTATTTTCACTCTATATTTTGCACTCAAAAACTATACATTAATGCAACAGCTTGCTTCCCTCAGAACCTTCCCCCTCCAAACATTTTTTGTCCAAAATGGAGGTAAGTTGATGAGATATCACTTCTGGCACACAAGGTTGTGCTAGTCCAGTCTGTGTGGGGGTTAGCTTCTGCTCAACCCCATGCAATTGTTCACAATCTGTTGAAAGACACATAGGAATATAAGTGTGTTGGTACTTAGTAGTAGTTCAGTCTTAGATATCGTAGATACTAACATGCAAAGCTGACTTCCTTGAATGTGATGTGATGAGTCTTCTACACAGAACAGAAGAAACACAAACTTAATTTATTTCTTCATTTGCTATGCGGAGCATTCCTCACAATAATTTTCACCCTTTGATATATTGGGTGTTTTCGGTTTGTTTTTGTGTGCCTTGAAGTTATTTCTGACTTAGGGTGACCCTGAGGTAACCTGGGTTTCTTGTCATGATTTGGTCAGAGAGAGGTTGAGTGGATTTTAATGGCTGAATAAGGATTCAAATCTTGAACTCCAGTGTCATTGTCCAACACTCAGACAACTATGCTACCCTGGCTGTCTCATTGGTACATCACTTCAAATTGTGATCACTTAAAAGGAGACTTAACACCACAAATTCTAAAGAGAAGGAGAAACATTCTACACTGTAGTCAAGAATCCAATGGGATTCTGACAAAAACTCATATCCTCCAATTAAAGAATCAATTCAGTCATTTGGAAACTTAACACAAGGAAATTATAGAACTTTAATTCAGTTACATTGTTAATTATAGTGTTCTGCTGTGGAAGACATGTTATTTTGTCCCAGGAGTAATTTTAATGTAATGTTATTTTTTCCTGACTTTCTGACTACAATGTGTGGAAAAAGATCTGGATGAGTGCCTTACAGGTATTCACAGTTGTTTCAGAAGACAACTATGTGTGAACACACAGGGATCATTCTACTGTGTCAACCACACTGTTATCTGTGCAGAGGGCTTTGTACTCAACATGCATAGAAAATGTGTTGGTAAGATGATAGGTGTGAACAATTTACTTTGGCACTATCACCCATCATGCTCTGCAATACAGTCAGCTCCTGCTCTTATTTGCAATAAGTCTCTCTATCTGTATTTAGTCTGTTAAGATATGTCTCCTTTTTTTGTAACTGTTTTTTCCATCATCTATTCTGTGTTGCTTGGCTTTGACTTCACAAGATGCTTACAGCCCGCAAAGTTAAGAACTATTCTTTCAAACAAACACATATGCCTTCTGGTTACATTTTTCTTCCTCTCTGCTGCAGCACAAGTGGCAATAGATTAAAACTAAGAAGATACACATGATAATGAACGTTGTTTCTGACACATATTCCCACTGTACGTGTTTCCTGTCACACTGTTTGTCTCAGAGGGTACGTGTGGTGCATGGAGTACATTTGCTATTGTTAAGGGTGTTTTTTTTATTACTTTTTTGGATACAGGGAAAACCACAAGCATATTATGGTTTTTAATTTATTGGGTTGCTGTCTCAGTCTCTTGATGGAACCATAAAGGGTTTTTTAGCCAGCTAATCAGTTATAGTGCTCCATCTTGAAGTATTTGGCAGAGAAATGTAAACAACTTTTCAAACTATAAGATTCTAATGTTTAATGTTTTAAAAATAATATCAGTATGTGAGACATGCTTCCAGACTGGGCGAATTAAGAAGAATTTTTGCCTTGATTTTGTGTAAGTTAATTATGAAAACTTTTAAAGCCCAGATGTAGTCACAACTAGATTTCCTGAATACGTGCTGAAACTCTCTGTCTGTTTATACAACATTCAACCAGAACTTGGAAAAGTTACATTTTGGGATTATAACTCTGCTGCTGCCAGGCTGATTAGGGGATTCCGGGAGTTTTAGTCAAATTACTAGTTCCAGTGAGAGTAGACATACTGTGTCAATAGGGTTAATGTTACCGTTGACTTGCCATTCAGCATTTTATTCAGTGTCACAAATCTTATTGGCCATTGTAATACTGATTCAATGTAGTTACTCTAACAGAAACAGACTTGAAATTTCATTTATGTGATTTGTTCATGGTTTAGCAGAGCTACTTGGTCTCATATACTATTGGATTGGCTGTGCTTCTCTAAATCTCCAGTCTTAGTTCTGTTTACTATTAAGCCAGTTTCATTGAGCCTCCAGTTATTGTTGCTTACCTTCAAGTAAGCTTTGATGGATGGGTACCTTATAAAAAAGAGTCATCCAAGAACCCTGGTTATTAACAGCCCTGTTTGCATGCTCAAGACTGAGGCTACATTGAGTGAATCTAGCCACTTATAATGAACTAGCTGTTCCCTGCCACGCGTTCCTGTGGCCCAGTCTGTTGATCTGGAAAATAAACTAATTAGAAAGTGTTGATTTCTAATATATGTAATTTCTTTGTGCTTGTGGATAAACAGTATTCCTTGCTGTTTCTTTGTCAGTGTTGATGTGGAGTGTGTCTGGTTTGCCCACCCTGGAACATGCAACATAGTGTCCTTCTTTAAGGGTCCCTTTCAAATCTATGATACTATATCTCTCTGTGTGTGAATCATATCTATCTATATCTATGGCTAGATGGAGGGCTTTGATTACGTTTTCTTGCCCTGATGAAGGGAGTTGGAATGAATGGTCTTAAGTATTTTCTGTTGGTCATGGGGGTTCTGTGTGGGAAGTTTGCCCTGATCCTGTCATTCGTGGGGTTCAGAATGCTCATTGATTGTAGGTGAACTGTGAATCCCAGTGACTACAAATCCCAAATGTCAAGGTCTGTTTTCCCCAAACTCCATCTGTCTTCATATTTGGGCGTATTGGGTGCTTGTGCCAAGTTTGGTCCAGACCCATCATTGTTTGAGCCCACAGTGCTCTCTGGATGTAGGTGAACTACAACTCCCAAATTTGAGGTCTGTGTCTACCAAACCCTTCCAGTATTTTCTGTTGGTCATGGGAGTTCTGTGTGACAAGTTTGGTTCAATTCCATACTTGTGGAAATTGACATGACTCTTTAGCAACAACGTGCAGTGTTTATGATGGATCCTGAAGAAAATACTTCAGCTGCACTTCACAATAAGGAAAATCATCCTGTTTAGCAAGACTTGAAAATGCTGGTTTATGTTCAGTAAATCTTTGATTTTTATATATTTTTATGTATTTATATACCCATGGTCACGTAGAAATTTCTCAGGCAGAACGGGGTCATGAGTGGAGATTGTTGAAGAAGCTCTGATCCAGAGGATCACAGGACCCCCTCTCCTGCTGTAAAGAATGTGCATGGATAGAAACGAAACAAGCAAAAGCACCCAACCATGTGTGAGTGTATGTTTATATGCCTGGATCCTTACCAAGAAATTATTGTAGCAGTCATTTTCTGATGGATCATCTGTCTATAAATATGAGTAACTGCTTCTAGTTCACTTGAGTAAATGCAATCGATAGATAGATATTAGGAAAATTAGGGAGTCTGTAAGTATTTCAAAAGAGTTTGACTGATACAATTCCATAAAGCTAACCAGATGTTCACAAGATGCAATGCTAAGATGAAGTGGATGTTAGAAAAGCTATTTATCTATTTTAAAATCTTAAAAAGATTTTATTTTGAAAGCGCTACTCAAGTCTCAGTGTATGAACATGTCCATAAGCTGAACATATTTGGGAATCTTTAGAAATGATCATGGGGACACTTATCTGTCCTGTTAACAACAACAGTGTGGTAAACAACAACATCAAAAAATGATGAGCTGATAGCTAAGATGAAATTTCAAGGAGCATTTAGCCCATAGACGTATTGGAGGATATTCACTTTGAAAGTCTAGTTAAAATTGCACATATAGGGTTGGTACAAATAAGCTTTTCTTGGAACTTAATACCTTATAACAGTTTGTTTATAGTTTTTATTTTACTGGCAGTCATCAAATTTCACATTTTTACAGATGAGAAGATACCGGTACATTTGCATTTGATTGCTTATTGACAGGTTAACATCTTCTCATATATCTATATATAAGTGTGTGTGTGTGTGGGGGGGGGGCATTTTCTTGTACAAGTATGTCTCAGCATTCATCTAAAAACAATCAACATACAAGTCAAACATGTGAAATTTCTTTGACATGAATA